TTAATGACGGCTGACGCTCTTTTGACTTAATCCTCGGATATTGATCATAGGTTCCGAGAACGCCGGATTTGATTATAAGATCTGGTCCTACCTTACTTTGGAGATCAATGAGGACGAACGTCTTCAAGCTTTTCGTGCGGAATTTTAACTTGTTTTTCTCCTGGTCAGAAATCTTTCAAAAGAAAAACAAGGAGTTGCTTCTGCACTCGTTAAAAGATTGTTGCTAGCGGGCTATTGCAGGTTTTGTGACAAGTTTTCGCAGCCAGCATAGAGGCTTAAGAATATGCCACCCTTGACAATTCGACCTGTCATGTGATTTCGTACTTTCGTGGTCCCCTGCATTCCACCATGTAGGCGCGAAGGTGAGTCACGGAGAGGTAAAATTCACTTTGTAAACATGGTGTAATCGACGAAATGGTCAATCAACCATATACCAACAGCAGTGTCTGAGAGAGTGCTTTTGACGAACAACGACGTACCATTGGCAACTGCTTTTACACGATTCACATACGGTCAACTACAAGGCAAAAGAAGCGAAAGTTTAGAACGGCATGACGACATTTGTTACGAACAGACCAGTCTCTTGTCGTTACTAATCAATCAGCATAATTACGGGAGTGTTTGCTCATGACTCGGCTAATTTTTTAAAGTGGCCTTCGAATGAGCACGACATCGTCGTACATTAAACCGGCACCGCATAACGTAAGTGTTCGATTGTGCCAACTGGTCAAAACCATGCTCTCACGTAAAAAACGGCTATACAAGAATTTAATCTTAAAAGCCATGCAAACTATGGTGAATATTTGCATGTACTTATCTCTGCGAACCGTGAAACGCAAAACGCTTTTAGTAATTTATTGATAGGAAGAAGATTTATAATAAATGCCCTAAATATCTAATCGTGAACAACAGATAGATTGTTAGATCATTAGCATAAGTTACAAATTAAATTAAAATGAATAAAAAAAGAATCAGTAATGTCTGATGATTTCTTCATCATCATAATCAGGTTAATTTGCTGTTATGTAAGAAATATTTTTACGGGTCTCATCAGCTGTAAATGACAAACAGATACAAACGTGAGCCAAACAAAAGTAAGGGAATAAAACAACGCGTGCTTCTTCAATATCGCAGAGGGTGCAAGTGACAAACGGAACCACTGAGTGTCTATGTCTTTCAATTCATGTACAGATGCTCTCAAAACGCCTTCGAATTTTGTTTCCACCTACAATCGCTCTACTGAAGCCTTCGGCTAAGAAGACTTCTTACAAAAAAGGTCAAGCACATGAACTATTTGGAACACATTTGTGCTTTATGCCAAAGATCGAAAAGAAATGATGTAAAATCTGAGCAATAACTGTTCACGAGTAAATTTAATTACGTTTCTCGGCGTGTTGGCACTCTATCTTAAGGATCTGTTTCGAACTCCGGAGATGCAGGGTTCGATTCCGCTGGAGGGCACTCTTTGTATTATTCACGAATTCCCTTCACGAAGCAAGGAACTTATAACGCGTTGTTTAAGACGGGGGTCGCTCACTTGATACTGAGTTTCGAACTCATAACCGATTGGTTCCGAGTTAAGGTACTTGTAAGGATCACCCGGCCTTTTTCCTTCTGAGGTTAATGAAAGAGTACAATTCGTAGGGAAGGAAAAAGGAGACTGCATGCAACACTTGACAAACGGCTGTGGACTTTGCCTACACTCATGGCTGATGGCATACAAATAAAGATCCGCAACCACCATCAATTTCATGAAACGAAAAGCCC